TCTGCATTGCTGGCAATCAATGAAGGAGACGGGGTGGGAGGGAGTGACCACCAGCTAAGAGCCAGAGATGCCAACATTCTTTAGTTGATTCCTCACTGCAGCCTACCTGATTAGAAGACATCTATTAGTCCTGGGCAGGAGAAAATGAGGGTTCAGAGAAAAATCCAAAAATATGATCCAACACAACCACTATACACAACATGGGTCTCAAAGTCTGCAATAATTTGAGGAGTAGTCAAGAGAATAGATACACTCAGTCTAAAACAAACAAAAAAATTAATGGGGAAATTTTGGCTGCTAAATGACATTTCTAATTTCCCCTAATTAAAAAAGGTAAGCACTTCTTTCTTCAGGAAACAAAGAAGATCTGATTTAAATCGAAAATTTAAATCTAAGTTACTTTACAGTTACCTATTTGGAATGAATAGTTTTGACTCAATGCAACAAGACTGCTGATTCTTTTCCCTGAAGCCCTTACCAACTGTAAAAAGAATCTGCACTGTCATTTTATTTTTTGAGCTTTAAAACATAGAGCATAATATTCATGACTGTTCCATTTTTTAAAATGCAAGGAATATATTAAATCTATACTGAACAAATGGTCTTCAACCTAACTATTCTACAGTGGAATGTCAGATATTAAAAACACACACTTGAATGTAACTAATGGCAATCCTAGTTTTTGGAGATAGACAGAATGAGGACACAAACGATCTGATAAGTATCAGGGGGTAGCCGTGTTAGTCTGTATCTGTAAAAGTGGCAGAGAGTCCTGTGGCACCTTATAGACTAACAGACGTATTGGAGCATAAGCTTTCGTGGGTGAATACCCACTTCGTCAGATGCCGAAGTGGGTATTCACCCATGAAAGCTTATGCTCCAATACGTCTGTTAGTCTATAAGGTGCCACAGGACTCTTTGCCGCTTTTATCTGATAAGATACAGCAAAACTGACAGAGACATATTTGTTCCATCCATACGCCAATGTGAACTGAATCAAGCAACACTAAATTAAAGAGATTGCTGCTTTTTATGAATATGTGCAATTTGCTGTTGTATAAGACTCCTTTGATATTTTGCTCAGAAATAAAACACTATCGTTTCCTGAGAAACCCCAACTCACATTGCTGAACCTTAGCTTTAAATACACAATGGCTGTAAGACTATAAATATTTTTCTATACACAAAAATGTACTTTCCATCATCGTCACCATTAATTCATAAGAGTTAAAGGTAGACATATAAAATTAGGATTTCAACAGATCTAGTAACGGCCCTTCCCCTTATCCCCAATATTGTTTAGCCTTAATCTCTAGAGCATAACACTGAAAACAAACTGTACTTTATTTCACTTAAAATTTGAACATATCTATATGACCCAGACTGGTAACACCAAACTCTCCCCGTTTCAGGTTCTCCATTCCCATACAGCTGAAGCTACCCTCCCATTTAGCAATATCAAAAAGGGCAGGGTGGTCATGTCTGAAGCACACCGAGACATTGTGACTCTAGGATGAGAACCTGGGGGCACAGTTGTATACAGCTTTGAAGGTAGTGTCTAGAAGCTTAAATTTGATATCAGGTGGGAAGCCAGTGGGATGTCATTTGCTTGCAAATACCAAGGGAAGTGGCCCACACAACTAGGAACAGAAAAGGCAATGGTCATGAGATAATCTCTTAAATTCTGGTCCACAGTTAACAGAGTTTGAAAATTCCTGACCTAATTTCACTTTATCTGTTATTTTTCTGATGTCATCTGAATGGTTCGTCTTCTGATAATCTTAATTTACCTAATATTAAGCAACTTAATTTTGCAAACCTTTCCAGCCACACTAAAAAAATGTATAACCCAATTTCTTTACACTGATGGAACTGGTAATTTGGATAAATTATTTGTTCCCAACTAATGGCATGAAGAGCAGGCCACAGGGACTTGCTGGCTGCAGCTTCCCACAGCTCCCATTGGCAGGAACGGCGAACCGCGGCCACTGACAGCTGTGGGGGGCTGTGTCTGCAGGTGGTCAACATCAGCAAAATATCTCTTGGCCCGCAATCAGATTACCTTGATGGGCTGCAGGTTGCCCGTCACCGTGCTAGATGATTTTAGAATACACCAGGATGCTTCACAAACATGCAAATGTTGGATCAAATTGGTAAGTCTTATTGTATTATAGAGGTCTGTTACTGAACTTGTGAAACAGGGCTCTGAGGACCGCGGGTTCCAAGGATCACTCAAGTTGATCCCGAGATGACCTGCTGACTGAGACTTCCTCCACGCTCTCCTCTCCTGCTAGGTGAAGGGTGACTGCGATGGATATGGTTTGGATGTAACACAGCCATAGATTCCTTGTCTCCCAGACAAGAGCTGGGAATGCACACTTCCCTGCTTGTTGATGCAGTACATAGCTATGGTGCTGTCTGTAAGCACCTGTGCTACACAGACAAGTGAAAGGTCTCGAGGGCCCAGCTCAATACTCTGAGCTTTTATATGTTCATATGGAGTATGGACCCCCAGGTGTACCCACCTGGGGCCCCCATCAATCAACTCCTCCTGCTCCCTCCCAGCATCTCCTGCATGCCATGGAACAACAGGGAGAGGGAGGATCACAGACAGGCGTGCTCGGGGGATGGGGTGGAAAGAGGTGGGGAAGAGGTGGGGCAGGAGCGGGAAGAGACGGGGCAGGCCCTTGGGGGGAAGGGGTGGAGTGGGGGTGGGAAGAGGCAGGGCGGAGGTGGGGGAAGGGTGGAGTTGGGGTGGGGCCTGGCGCTGAGCACCCCAAGGGAAAATTAGAAGCTGGCGCCTGTGCAACCGACAATGAAAGGATTCTGGGTTCAATGGCCTGAGTTAAAACTGACATAGGGCCTTCTTTCTGACCCAACAAATGGACGGAATTGTCTGTCCAAGCATGATCCCAGTCCTTCTTGGGGTGGGTTGGAAGGACTTGGCACAGTCTGTGTTCTTGCGCTGAGCAAAAGGGATTATGAATTGTAACCACAGGAAAACCCTTTGGTGGGGTTCAAAGGACTTTTCACAGGCCAGGGCCCTTGTGGCAGTCAAGGGGTGATCTCTGGTAAGCTTGTTAGGATGCTTGGAGGTTCTTTTATTGTTTTAAATATTTTCTCTGTAATGCTTTTACCTTAAGAATAAATGTCCCTCTTCAGAAAGAGCTGTGTGGTAACTTAACTGTGGCAATTACACGGTTTACCATCTCTGAAGAAAAAAGTAAAGCAGGCCTGCTTAGACAGTTTGACTTTGCTGGGGAATTCATAGTGTAGACAGGGTGCTCTGCAGCCTGGAAATACCGTGGTCAGGAAGGAGAGAGCGAGTGTCTACATCCAAGAGACAATGTCTGGGGAGCCAAAACCTAAGAAAAGGTGCCCTTGCTGAACCACAGAGGGAGAACACAGTATAGTTGCCCTAAATTGTGACAGTCTTGTACTGGCTGTTCCCTGAAGTAGTTAGAGTCCCAAATCTTGAAAAATCTCTTTTCTGGAAGAAAGGCCCTGAGTGGAGTCCAGGATTGCTCCAAAAAAGTGATCCTCACTTCAATCTGCACAAAGAATTTCTCCCAGGTAATCAACAGTCCCGGTTATCGGAGGAGGCTACACATAGAATCATAGAAATGTAGGGCTAAAACGGACACATGGTCACCCAGTCTATTCCCTGAGCTGAGGCAGGACCACCTAGACCATCCATGACAGATGTTTGTTTAATATATTCTTAAAAACATCCAAGGACAGGGATTCCACAACCTCCTTAGGTAACCTGTTCCTGTGATTAATTAGAAAGTTTTTCCTAATATCTAACCTAAATCTCCCTTGCTGCAGATTAAGCCCATTACTTCTTGTACTACCTTCCATAGACATGGAGAACAATTAAACACTGTCCTCTTTATAACAGCCCTTAATGTAGTTGAAGACTTATCAGATCCCTTCTCAGTCAGCTTTTCTCATGACTAAACATGCTCAGTTTTCCCCTCAAGAGTCAGGTTTTCTAAAGCTTTTATCATTTTTGTTGCTGTCTTCTAGAATCTCTCCAGTTTGTCCGCACCCTTCCTAAAGTGTGACACCCTGAACTGGACACAATACTCCACCCCAGGCCTCACCAGTGCGGAATACAGTGGGACAATTACTTCCTGTGTCTTACATATGACCCTCCTTTTAATACACCCCATAGGGCGTACTAAAAGGCTACTGGCCTTTTTCACAACAGCATCACACTGTTGGCTCACTTTCAAATTATGATCCATTACAACCACCAGATCCTTTTCAGCAGCACTAGCCCCTACCCAGTTATTCCCCAATTTGTTGTCGTGCATTTGATTTTTCCTTCCTAACTACAGTATTTTGTACTTTTCTTTATTGAATTGAATCTTGTTTATTTCAGATCAATTCTCCAATTTATCAAGGTCCTTTTGAATTCTAATCCCATCCTCCAAACCCCTTTCAGCGTGGTGTCATTCACAAATGTTATAAGCATACTCTCCACTCCATTATCCACGCCATTAATGAAAATATTGATTAGTACCAGACCCAAAATTTGTAACAAGTCTGCTGAAGAGAGATGCTGTTGAGAGCTTGCCCTCAAGCCAGCAGTCCAGATATTCCTTAGCATCTGAAGTGAACAGCAACCACCATGCGACACTTGATGAAGACGCACAGTGCTGCGGACAAGCCAAAATGAAAGATTCTAAATTGGTAGGTGTCTTGTACCCATATTGAACTTCAAGTACTCAATGTATGTTTGGTTGCCAAATGAAAGTAGACATGCTTAAGTAAAGAATCGAATACCAAACTCCCCAGAACAAGGAAGGGACAATGTCCTCTAGAGCAAGCATCTTGAGCTTCAATATTCTTATGCACCCGTTGAGATTTCTGAGGTCCCGAATGAGTCTCAGATCTTTCCTCTGCTTGACATCAGGAATAGCAGGAACAAAAACTTTTATCTCAGTGTTCTCCTAGAACCAACTTTATAGCTCTGTGATAGGGTTGGGACTCACCACCGCAGCGCCTCCTGTTGGTACCTCCAGGAATTAGCTCAGTCCATGTGGAGCGCCCTCCGCTGGTGGTGTCCTGTCCGTCTCTCGCCCTTGGTTGGTGTCTGGACCTGTGTTGCTCCCTTCTCGCGGCGTCCTCTTCAGGACGCTGCCTCCTAGTCCACGCTCACTCCCTTCCGGGGGTGTGTGTGTGTGTATAACAGCAGTCTTTCCGCTTCGCCCCAGCCGCCATGGCCAACCACACCCCAAAGTCTTACCCCTTCTGTCAGGGGTCGGGTGCAGTCCGCTATGGCCACTTCTAACGGCCAGGTGTAATACAATGGGGAAGGGGGCGACCCAGGCCTGCCCTCTACTCTGAGCTCCGGCCCAGGGACTCTCTGGCGGCAGCCTCCCTGCCCTCCTTCACTCCCCTTGTCTGCCTCTCCTCCCTGGGCCGCTTCCCCTTTGGCCCCTTCACACCTTGTAGCCTGCAGCCCGGAAGGTACTGGGCTGGAGTTCCCCTCTGCTCCCCTGACCCTGACCCTGCCCAGCACTGCACTGCGCTGTGCTGTCCCAGGTGCTGGTCTCCTCGCTCAAACTTCTCCTTTGAAGGTCTTGGAGAGACTGTCTGCTTCTCTCCTGGGCAGCCTTTATATAGGGCCTAGCCTGGCCCTGATTGGCTGACTCTTTCCCTGCTCTGATTGGCTGCAGGTCTGCGCAGCCTCTCAGGTCTGGTTCAGCCCAATCTTGCCTGGGGGTTGGGCACCGCCTCACCACAAGCTCCCTTCCAGAAAAGGGAATCCACTTCTTCCAACAAGATGTTCTCAAGAGATGGGTCCTTGAAGACGGAAGGAGACAGGATAGTGATGTAGTCTGGTGCAGAACCAGATGGAATATGTCACAGGCTGTGTCCAGCAATAAGTGATCAGAGATAATTGTGCATCAAGCTCTGTAAGAGGAAGAGAAACAAGGTCCAAAGAGTGGGGATGGGACAGGTTGGATAAAAATTAATTATTTAAAAAAAAATAATTTAAAAAATCAGATATTTTTTATTTAAATCGGATTTTTTTTTTATAAAATGCTTTTTGAGGAAAAAAACCTATCTAAAGATAGTTTTAATTAAGATACATTATAGTTCAAAGATATCTCATCATGCAATAGGGATTATAAATTCTAATTCTATAGTATGAAACAATATATTCATGTCATGTTTAAGATACATTTTGTAAATGAGTTCCAAAAGTTCATGGATTAGGGACCCAATTTTATGGAGTTCCAGGGGCTTCTCTATAGATTATTTAAGTTAATCTTTCTATCTTCCCAATGGGACTCAGTGCTCAGTCTAGAAGATACCATCAGAGATGCTTAGTTTTGCAGTTCTCAAACTGTGGATTTGTGTCTCCAGAGATAACATGCTTGTTAACAGCAAAAATGTTTTAAATAAATAAATAAATAATATATAGAGGTGAGAAATAACAGACCTCAACCCTATTGTCTCTCTGCAAATTTGTGTACACAGAGTCAATCCCTTACCTCTCTCTAAAAGTGCAAAGTTTCAAAAAGTTCAGTGAATAGAAGATTGTTGGGGGAGGAATAGATCTGGACAAGGAGAAGAAGTCTGGAGATGAATGTGAGAAGGGAGGGACAGGCAGTAGAAACAAAAGTGAAACTGTTTGAGCAGCATATTCCAGAAGTCTTGAGGTCTTTCTGAGTGTAGCCTTCATTGATTTGAGATCTAACATACCATTCTCACTAGAAGGGAAAACCTAAAATGGCAGCAGGCTGTAAAAGAGACCCAGTTTGGGAATAAGAACCATTCAAGAAATATATTTTTGCTGATGATGTCTTAAAGAAAGTCACACCAGTGAACTGGTGGAAGTCACTTAAGCACTTGGATTTAGAGACTGTTGAAGTGATAATCTCACTTTTAACAGCAGTAGCTTCTTCTGTCAGAGTAGAAAGAATATCTTCTTCCTGTGGACTAATTCATTCCAAATTGAGAAATCGTTTGGGAGCTGAAAAAAGCACGAAAGCTTGTTTTTCTTTTCCAAATTATGAACAAACAGGAAAATGAAGGTGAAGAGACGACTGAGTTAGCTGCAGAAGCCAATATTTTACGTTTCTCATGCTGACCTGGCTGACATAGTCTATTTAATTTTTTTTTATCCATTTAACTATTTTAGTTAACAATTTTAACAAAAACAAACCCGATTTTAAAAAATGCAAATGTTTAACTAAATTTAAAAATTCATATGCTTGTTTTGTTAAAATATTATGTGTTTGCTGTTGAAGAAAAAAATCCAGAATACATAACATTGCTGTTTTAGTTAAATAAAACAATTAAAATGTCTGTTTGGTGATGTTCTCATCCTAATACAGCATGGCAAGAAAATCCTCCAAATATTAATGATTAACCTGTTGAATTGGAGACAGTTTACCTCCAATAACTTATAAATATCTGCTTCAATTACCTTTGGTAAATGAAATAACCAATCATTCATTTTCTGATATAGATGTAAAACTAATCTGAAAAGTTTTCAAAATAAATCACTTTAAAAATGTATAGTGGGTACCTTCTAAAAATGAAACCTACATCTATCTCTGAATTGTGAAGAGTATTTATTAAGGTTATAACAACCAACAAGAATGCACTTTTATGTAGAAATCCATGATTAAATAGAGTCTTCCTGACTAGTGATTTAAATCAATTTGATTTAAATCAAATCCACCCTGGGATGGGAAGAAGGCATGGAGAACTGGTGCAAGTCAGTGCATAGCGCTTGACTGCATCTTCAAAACTGTTTTTTGGAGGCTGATGTTGAGGGCTGTGAGGCATGAGATTAGGAATCCTGCTTCAATAATGCTGAGGTTGTTTTCCATTAGTAGGTTAAAGGAGTGGCTAGTTTCACCTCTGGAAGTGTATCCCTTGGTATTGTGAAGAAGCCTGTCTTTTGGAAGTGGAATGTTAGGTAGTAAAACCTCTTCTGTGCTTAGGAAGAGGACTCTGTTAGTCCCAGGAAAGGTGCAGCAGCCATAACCTTTTCCAGGGCTTCACTGATTTCATCACTAAAAAAGGCCCGTACTCTCAAAAAGGGAGGTTTTCTATTTTCCTCGGGATCCAGCTGTAAGACCAAAAGGATCTCAGCCAGGAGTACCTCCTAAGAGCCGCTCCTGTGGTCACTGTTCTTGCATTGACATCTAAGTCATTGTGTGCTGCTCATAGCGCTGCATGAGTGTACAATCCTCAGTGACCAGAGTCTTAACCACTTCCTTCTCTTCCTCAGGAAAGGAGTCCAGCATAGGGCTCATGGCATCCCACAGAGCGTAACTGTAGCAGAACACAATGACTTGATAGTCAGCCACCGGAAGGCCTAGTGAGCCATAGGAATAGGCTCCCCTGCCAAAAGCACACAGCTTACATTCTTCTCTCCTGGCAGAAGAAGGTGACTTCCCATCCCCTCACCCCCTCCTGTGCTGCAGACAGCACCAAAGAATTTACCACAGGATGTTGTAGTAAAGACTGATGTCCCTCAACTGGCACAGGATAACATTGTCTCTGTTCTCTTGCATACAGGTGAGAATGAAAAGGAAGAACAACAGATAACCTTCACTCTGGCTGTCTCAACCTGGCTCATAGGTAGAGACAGCTTCTCTTTTGTCTGCATCTGTAGTATGTCAAACAGGGATTGGACATGTCTGATGTAGTCACACCTGCTGATGTAGGGTGCTTACACCTTCTTTTTCAAATATCTTCTCAAAACATTGAGCTGATGCTTTACAATGGAAAGCTACATCCTGACTTCAATAGGTTTTGGATTAGGCTTTAAGGGACACTGTGACAGGTACCATGTATTAATTAAAAAAATTAAAATACAATAACTATGGTTCCCCTAATTTGGTTGCATCACAAATGTAACGGCACACAATTTGGTCTCATTTTGATTAGAACGGAGAAGCATGAAACTGGAGTACCAAGGATGTTGTTTAGGTCAGAATTCAGGTGCACTGGAAGAGCTGTTGGGGAAGCTTTAGTAGGGCCTGCCTTTCACCTCACCATATTAATGAAGTATTTTCCATAGTCAATCAAGAGCTAAAGAGACAGCATTCATTCCAGGTAAGTAACTCTGAAAATATTGGAGTGAGAGACAAAGCCAAGATAAAGAAGGTCAGAGACTGCAGATGGGTTTTCATTGGTCACATAACATAGTAAGAGTAATTTATAATGTATATATCCTTTTCTTACAGACATGTTAGTTCTGCCTGTAGTTCACAGTAATCATTATTTATTATTCTTGAGCATTTGCTGCATGTTCTGCAGAGCACAGATGTAACAGAATATAAAAGAGAACAGGTCCTTACACTGAACTTACAACCTAGAGAGAGAGAGAGAGAGAGAGAGAGAGAGAGAGACCAAACACTTCCACATATATTATAATTATTTAAATAATATACCTGAGTAATACTAAAAACTAAGGGGTGGATTAAAACAGGCTGCATAGTAGAAATGTTTAGTCCTATATATCTTTATTAGGCACACAGAAGACACACACATCAAAAGGTAATTATAACTAGAACAAATCTCTTCAACAATAATTCTGACTGTGTTTAGAGAAGGTATTTGAAAGAAGATGGAAGCACACTATATCAAGTTAAAGCAACTGACAGGGGCGTTTTAAAAAAAAAAGAGAGAGTAGATTAAATCAAGGTTAAATTCTACCTGTGGACATACAACAGAAGACAGCCCAAACTACATGTTTGCTACCAATAAGACTACATGCCAGAACATAACTATGATCCGGCTATGAGACACTGATTTAAACAAACAAACGCTATTCTACAAAACACATGTTGAAATGTGGTAAGACCAGACATTTAAGAAAAACAATATGCTAAACCCCACTAGAGATTTCTCCAAAATACAGATAATTAAGATATATATTTAAACAGACTAATCATTTGCTAGGTGTTTTCTAGGGAAATAGGACAATTATAAAGTGCTACAGAAATTAACTGAACTAATACAGCTAAAATACTCCACCACTTGATGAGCAAAGCTACTACTGAGTGAAAAGTTTTGTCTGATTACAAGATACTTGTTTAGGGGATCTTCTTTTATGTATGTTCCAAAGGTATTTCTTAAAAGAATTCTCAATAAGACTGCAGACATTAGTGGCAACTAAAGATTCCTTTTAATTCAATATTCTGAATGTCTGGTTGAATTAATGAACATCCTTTATACTGATTTTATTTATTCCAATAGCTGCAATGATTCAAAATGAACAAGATAACTAGCCCATTATCTCCAGTGTCATACTTGTTGTAATAGGTAATATTTAGAGGCCTTTTTTGTTTGCTTGCTTTTTGGTAGCGTAACATAAGAATCAAAAGCTACACAGGAAGCCATTTAAA